AACACATAATGGGCCAAAAGCCCATTTCGAGCTAGGCTGATATGATCACCCATCTATTGGGCGAATCTGGGATTAAAGTTGGAAAAAGGATTGGGCCTTTAAACTTATCCACTCTGGGAGACCAAATTCAAATCAGATTTGAATCTGGTAACCTCCTGATAAGATTAGGAGTAAGCTGACTTAATCTGCAGATAGGATTAAGATCATCCCTTAACTAAATACTGATTTGGATTGGGATAACTCCTAATTAGAAGGTTTCTTAATCAAGAAGAAAAGAGGAGAAACCCTAAGAGATCATAATCAGATTTCGAACCTAGGGTTGGATGCAAGAAATCATCCTGCAAATTGAGATTGGATCTCATACACACTCAAGAGAGAAGAGAAGCAATTCAGCCATCTCCGTCCCAGGAGTTCTCCTCCAGCTGCCGCCATTCTTTCTGACAAGATTCGATCTTTGAAGAAGAAAGAAATCAAGAAATCAGTTCTTGACATCAGTTTTGCAGAAAAGACTGAAAAAGATTTGGTGCTCAGAGTTTCCAGAGGATTCTTGCAAAGGATCTAGTGTGTAGGACGCACTCTGCTGGTTCCGTTCCATATACAACTGTGTCATCTTCAGCAGGAGCAGATCTTGGTGTCCTCTTTGGGCGTGAACACCAACTTTGGGAGATTCTGCTTCTCTGGATCAGGTATAATTCCTCCCTTCCCTTTTTGGTTCAGATCTGGTTCGATTATGGTTCAAGTAGGATCCTTGAATATTGTATTCTAAATTTAGGGAATACGATTCCCAGTTGGGAGAAGGTAGGAAAATTTTTTAAATTCGCCCACCCATTCCGCAATCTTTATGGCGTCCATTGGATGTATCCTATCATTCTTTCAGAGAAAGCCCACCTAGGGGACTTAGGCAAGGAAAAAGAGGCCGGCCAAGGAGGCCATGGGGAATCAGCCGCTGCAGAAGGTGGCCCGCGCCAAGGGCTTGTCAGGGGATGCCCCAAGGAGTTCTCATAGGGAACGAATGGGGTCATTTTTTGCCCCCACGCCGCTGGAGGAGCTCGTCGAGCGATCAAGCCAGATCTTCTGTCCCTAGTGGGACGTCCACGAGGGGGACTCCATCCAGGATGAATGGGTCAGTCGGGCCCTAGTGAGTGGGGCCCTACTTTTACGAGATCACTTCCAGATGCTGGGGAGTTCCCCGGAGAAGATCTAAAACACAGGGCTGCAAAGCTTGGCCAAGGTAACACTTGTTCCCTTCTCTTCAAGGTTATTTGCTTTATCATAGGATACTGATTGTTCCTTTGCTGCAGGTTTGCCTCCACTTCATTGGCCTCGAGGATCTCTGAAGTTGACCCTATCCCAAATTGACAAGTTGGTAGAGGAGAAGGGGAATCTCTAGCAAGTTGCTTCCGCCACAGAGGAGAAATACCATAGGTTCCGCCTCTCCAAAGAGCAAATGGAGAGGGCTTGTATCGAAAGTCTCCTCTCTGAGGCTGAGCGGTGCGCCAACCTGGCCGAGGGAGATACTGCCGAGGCAAAGAAGCAGGATGCAGAGGCAGAAAGGAGGGCCAAGGAAGCGGTGAAGCGGGCTGCGGAGGCCGAACAGAGAGTTGTCGATGCTGAGAAGAGGGCCCAGGAAGAAGAGAAGCAGGCCGAGGAGCTGGTCGATCTCGCATCCAAGCCTTACTTGGACAAGATTAAGGATACCAAGAAGACGCTTGCGGTGGCATTGCCTGACTTTGACGCCGAATCTTTGAAGGTAATCCCCGACTCTCCTGAGGAGGTTGCCGATTCTACTCTTCCTTCAACAGGTGAAGAGGCCTAGGCTAGGCTTTTATTTTCTTTTGTTTTCTTTTTTATATTGCACGTGTTCGGCCTCAGGGATCGTGGATGAATTCTTGTAAAGCCAATTTTTTGAATGTAATGGGAATCTGTGGCATTTTTTGAATCTCATCTCGAATACTTGTTTTTTGTTGTGTTCTTTTTCCTTTGCTTTCTTTGTTGTCTTTTTTTTTTTTCGCCGAGGGGTCCTTGCCCCCCCCCCCCCGCTAAGCGGAAAGATCACAACATAGAACAGTTCACTTCGTCTTATTACACATGTGCCTTAGATGTGTGGCGGAGGGCAGTTGAGCGGAGGTGGCCTTGCCTGGCTTAATTTCCCTCTAAGTGTTCACTTAGGCGAGGCCGAGGTGGCCTGCGACCGAGGGGGGGGGGGGAGGCCAAGGCGAAGCGGGAGCTTGCTTGGCTCTCTTCCTCCCGTGGGTACTTAGGGAAAGGTAGGATGAGCTGTCGAACTGAGGACAGGGCCGAGGCAAAGCTGAGGTTCGTCTGGCTCCCATTTCTCCAAGTGTTGGAATCAGCAAGGCGGAAGTGGCCTGCCGTATGGAGGAGTGGCCGAGGCGGAGCTGAGGCTTGCCTGGCTCCCATATCCCCATGCGTTCATTTCAACGAGGTCTTGTTTAATGTTCTGAGGGAGCTGCCGTCTTTTTCTAATAGCGCTAAGTGAAAAAAGTCCAAGAGGCCAGCCACCGCCGAGGTGGGGCATTGAGGCACGTAAGGGCTCAGCCATCCTAGTATACTCTGACGTGTCGTTCAGCTAGGGTATTTGCTACTTAGTTGTTTAATTCTTTAGCGTCAGCCTGGCGAGAGGGTACGAACCTCTGGGGAGGCCGTGCACCCCTGCCAGTCGCAAAGCTGAAGAGTTGTAAGAACTTAGTAGGTACACACACTGAGCATTGAGCCGAAGGGGAACTTTTCTTCATTCATTCAATCACTCCAAAAAGACATTAAAACTACTTGTAGTACATCTGGAGATTCTCCGAGTTCCAAGTCCGAGGGATGGGTCTTCCATCTAAATGCTCCAAGTGAAAGGTGTCGGGGCCGATGATAACCTTCTTAAGGACGTGGTGCCCTTTTTGATAGTGTCTTTCTTTTACCCTAGAGTTGTAGTAGTGGGCCACTCGCTGCTAGTAAGCGGCTACTCTTATTTGTGTTTGCTCTCGGGCTTCTTCCAACAGATCCAAGTTTGCTCTGAGGGCTTCACTATTCATGGCTTCATTGTACGCCTTAACTCGGGGTGTCGGCTGGCCGATCTCTATCGGGATCATTGCTTCCATGTCATAGGTTAAGCCAAAGGGGTTTCACCCATGGCTATCCGAGGTGTGGTTCAGTAAGCCCAGAGTACACTATTTAGTTCGTCAGCCCATAGGCCTTTTGCCTGGTCTAATCTGGTCTTCAGTTTGTCTAATATCATCCTGTTGGTGACCTTGGCTAGGCCGTTGGTTTGGGGTAGCCTACTGAGGTGTCTTGTTGCTTGATGCCGAGGGAGGCGCACCACTCCCAGAACTTGGTGTCATCAAACTACTTCCCGTTGTCGGTGACCAGCATGTGGGTAGGCCAAAGTGGCAGATAATGCTTTTCCAAAAGAAATTTTGGATTGCTTAGGCCATGATGGTGACTAGGGGCTCAACTTCTACCCACTTAGTGAAGTAGTCTACAGTGATGACGAGGTACTTTCTACCCCCCATGGACTGATGGAAAGGGCTAAGGAGGTCCATCCCCCACTTGGCGAAGGGCCAGGGGCTGCTGAGGGCCGAGAGAGTGGTGGCATAAGTTGGTGTACCTTAGAGTTTCTTGGGCTAAGGCCCTTCCACTGAGGTGATTGCCGCAGATGCCTTCGTGAATCTCCGGTATTACATACTCGCCCTCCTATGGACGGAGGCATTGAAGGTAAGATTGGGTAAAGGATCTTCGGTATAGTTTTCCTTCTAACAAGGCATAGTGGGCTGCCTAATGCCTGAGTTGCTTTTCCTCATTACTGTCTTCGGGCAACTATCCTATTGATAGGAAGTTGATGATGGGATCCATCCATGACGGCTTGACCTCTATTGGGAGAACTTGGACTTCTTCAATGGAGGGCCGAAGTAGCTTCTCTACATGCACGGTCCGGTCGAGGACTCCGCTAGAGGTGCTTGCCAACTTGGAGAGGGCATCAACTCTTGTGTTCTCGGCTCGCGGAACCTCTTGCAAGGAGAAGCATTGGAAGTGGTAGGCTAAATCTTGGACTTTGGTGAAGTACTTGGACATTCTTTGTTCTCTGGCCTTGTACTCTCCATTTACTTGATTCACCACTAGGTGAGAATCGCTAAAGGCTTCGACATGTAAGGAGCCGAGGTCCCTAGCGAGCTGTAGGCCAGCAAGGAGGGCCTCGTACTCGGCTTCGTTGTTTGATGTTGGGAAGTCAAACCTCAGCGCATACTCTATAGCAACATCATCTGGGGTGAGAAGGATGAGGCCCGCTCCACTTCCATCGAGGGTGACCCTCATCGTCCATGTGACCCCTTTCGACATTTTCTGGGGTCTAGTGTAGGGCTCGACTGAAGGTGCATTCCACTATGAAGTCTACTAGGGCTTGTACCTTGTTTGCGGGCCTCGGCTGGTATTGGACGTTGAACTCGGAAAGCCCGATGGCCCACTTCGTCAAGCATCCCAAGGTCTTGGGCTTGGATGGGACAACCTTGAGGGACTGGTTCGTTAGGACCACTATTGAGTGAACTTGGAAGTATGGCCTGAGCTTCCTAGCTAAAACCACGAGGGCGAAAGCCAACTTCTCTATCTCGGGATACATGGTTTCAATGTCACAGAAGACCTTGCTGGCATAATAAACTTGCTACTACACGTCATCTTCTTTGATCAAGACTGAACTGACTGCTTCATCCCCAGCCTAGAGGTACAGGTACAAGGTTTCTCACTCGGTTGGCTAGGCGAGGAGGGGAGGTGTAGTAAGGTACGCCTTGAGCTCGTAGAAGGCCCATTGGCATTCCTTCATCCATTGGAAATCTTTCAGCTTCTTGTGCACGGAAGAAGAGTAGGTAGTGGTCAACTGATTTCGACATGAAGCGATTGAGGGCTACTATCCGGCCGGTGAGTCTCTAGGTTTCCTTCACCATCTGAGGAGGTGCCATATTCAGTGTGACTTGAATCTTCTCAGGATTAGCCTTAATGCTTCTCTAAGTGACAACGAAGACCAAAAATTTTTCTGATGTGACACCAAAGGCACACTTGTTGGGATTAAGCTTCATGTTGTAGTTTCGCAAAGTGTCAAAGGTCTCGGCTAAGTCCGAGATATGAGCCTCAACTTTTAGGCTTTTTACTACCATGTCATCCACATAGGCTTTGACGTTCCTCCCCATTTGATCTTTGAACACCTTGTTAACAAGGTGTCGGTAGGTGGCCCCGGAATTTTTGAGGTCAAAGGGCATCACTCGGTAGCAATATGTGTCATGCTCGGTGATGAATGAAGTCTTCTCCTCATCGTCCGGGTGCATCCTTATTTGGTTATATCCAAAGAAAGTATCCATGAAGTTGAGTAATTCGAACCCTGCAATGGCGTCAATGAGGTGGTATATCCTTGGCAAAGGAAAACTGTCCTTGGGGCAGGCTTGGTTGAGGTCTCTTGGATGAAGCCGACGTCGAGTAGCTTTCCAACTTCCTCTTCTATGGCCTTCCATTATTCTGGTGCAATGTTCCTCTTCTTCTACTGGACTGGCCTAGAGCTCGGGTCCACGCTCAACTAGTTCGAATAGGCTCTCTGGGGGAAGGTTGGACTTGACACAGACTACTTTTCCAGGCTCATCCTCGTCTAGGGTGACTGAGATGAGGTCCTCGGCCGGCTAGCCTCAGCTCGCTGGCTCCTCCCTGAGGTCGAGACCCTCTAGTGGCAAGGTTTCTTTATTCTTGCCCTTCAGCACTGGTGGGCGGCATTCTAGTCCCCCCAAACAACTCCAATGCCATGCTCGATGGGGAACTTGAAAGGAAGGATGTAGGAGGAGATGGCCGCATGGAGCACGTAAAGGGTTGGTCTCCTCATGATTGCGTTGTAGGGTGAGCCAATCCTTACGACCAGGAACTTTGTCATCCTTGTCGCCTGCTGGGGCTTCGTCCCTTCTGTGAGGGGTAGGGTGATCTTGCCCTCTGGTCTGACAACGTTGCCAGAGAAGCCAAGTGGTGGAACATCCACTGGCTAAAGGCGCTCTAGCGCTATCTTCATCTTTTCAAAAGCTTCGTAGAAGAGGATGTCGACTGAGGAGCCCCTATCAACGAGAAGCCTCTTAACTATGAATTTTGCAATGATGGTTGAAACCACCAAAGCATCATCATGGGGACTGCTACCCCCTTCAAATCCTCGTTTGTGAAGGAAAGGGACTCTTTCTACTTCTGCTTCTTGGGGGCCGACCCCTGGATGTTTAACTGCCTGGCGTAAGCCTTGCAAGCCGAGGCCGAGGCTCCACCCGAGGCCGTGCCTCCGGCTATGACGTCGATGACGTCGGCTACTTGCTGATGTTGCTGCTGCTGTTGAGAGGACGAAGCACCATCCTCGCCCCCGATGTACTACTTGAGGTGGCCTTGGCGTATGAGATACTCTCTCTCATTCTTGAGATCGTAGCAGTCCTCGGTGTCGTGGCTAGCGCCTCGATGAAATTTGCAGTACTTCTTTGGGTTCCCCCTTCGGGGATTCTTCTTCAACTTCTCAAGTCACTTTATGAATTTCTCCTCCCCAATCTGTATCAGAATCTGCATGCAGGTGGAGTTGAGTGGCGTGTATTGGTTGTAAGCCAGAGCCGAGTCCGATGGGTTCCTACTGTTGTTGTTGCTGTCGTTATTGCAGCCGTGGTCTCCATTCTTTCTCTTCTTTTCTAGGGCTCCGTTCCGGTGCTCGGTGCCCTTTTCTTGAACATTCCCAACTGAAGCCTCTTCCACTACGATATACTTCTAGGCCCTCTCAAGGAACTCCAGTTTTGTCTTCGGTTGGCTTTTGGCGATTGAGCACTTGAGGGCCGAGCCAGGGAGGAGTCCGTTGATGGTGGCATGCATGAAAACCATGGGGTCGAGGTCACGAACCTCAAGCTCTTCCTTCTTGAAGCGGTCAATATACGACCGTAAACTATCTCCTTGCTTTTGCTTGACTGTCATTAGCGAGCCAACACTCTTTTGGGGACGTCGACTGCTGAAGAAGCGGGCGAGGAACAGGTTGGAGAACTGCTCTCACGAGTTAATGGATCGAGGTGGGAGGCTTGAAAACCACCGTCGAGCAGCTCCCTTGAAGGTTGCCTGGAAAGTTCAGCACGTCAAGGTGTCGGAATATCTGTACAGGATCATGAGTGCCCTGAAGCTCTCCAGGTGGTCATTTGGGTCTGTGTTCCCGTCGTACATCTCCAAGGTGGGAGCTTTGAAGTGCAGGGGTAATGGCTCGACGATGATGTTGGGGGAGAAGTTATCCATCCTCCCCATAGTGTTACTCTGTTCGGCCTACGTGTCAGTTCAGCCCTCCTTGACTTGTTGGAGCTTGGCTTTGACAGCACCGAGCTCTGCTCGCAGTTCAGCAAACTGAGGGTCGGGCATGTCCTATGCGTCGTCCCGATTTTCATGGATGCGGTGAGGGTCAACACGAACCCTGAAGTGTTTTGAGGTGAGACCACACGCCTCGTGCCTAGCACAACGGTCATTAAGGATGTCTTAGAGATCCGAAATGTGAGGGGAAGAGGCTCAGCGTTGGCTTTCGGCCCTAGAGTGGGCACTGGGGCAACCGTGAGGTTCGCCTTCATCCCTCGAGTTTGCCCTTCGACGCCGATGATGCTGCTCGGAGGGTGGGTGGCTCTCCTCAAATTGTGTAGGTTGCTCCTCCCTTCGGCTGGGAGGTCGGGAGTTCCTGGAATGCAGGCTGGCTAGGTGACTACTGCCAGACTCAGAGGGGTCAGTTTGTTGCATGTAGCCAAGGCTGAGGGTTGGCTGGTTCGCAGACCCATGCCAGCCTAGCTGTGTTGATTCCCAGGCAGGATGGTCACCCTGGGGGGGACCTCCTACCTGAGGGTAGCTCTACTCAACTCATTGGGTTAAATACTCCAGGCGATCGAGTACGACCTGGAATTTTTCATTAGTGACAAGGTTATGAGTATTCCTAGTTCTTCGTACCATGGTGATTTCAGCTTAGGGACTCCTTAGTTTATCAAAGTTCTTTAGGGGATCATCTTAACAACAGTTCCCACAGACGGTGCCAATTGTTGATGCTCGAATTGGCCGAGGACAACAAAGTGATTTCACCCTTGAGCTCTGAAGGTGGGCCGAAGGTTTCGAAGGCTCGGATATGGTATGTCGAGGCCGAGGACTTGTAAGCCGAGGCAGATCGTTTGATGAGTACCGTGGAAGCCGAAGACTAGTAGCCTAAGTGTTGCAAGACAGAGGATGTTAGAGACCCGAGGCGGAGACTCCGATGGTCAAGTTAGTACAAAGGTACAAAGAAGGGAATCAAGTACAAACGAGGGCTTTGAGGAGGGGGTTACCCCCTATTTATACCTGAGCCGCTCGGAGGTTGGTGGGGATGAATGCCCGAGATGGGAGCCGTACGAGGGCGGTCAGCGGGCTTCTCAGGGACACATGGACACTCCGCGATTGGTTCCGTACGAGTGGTAGCAGGGTAGCCCCTGTTGTGACGAAACGCGTCCATAGATCTAGCGCTCGTGGGCTGGGCCATCCCGCATTAATTCGTATGGTTGTAGGACAGTAAATTAACATAGTGTGGGCAAGGAAGTACAGATGACGAATTGAGCCCGACTTGTGTGTTTATCTCTGGGTATCCAGATTGAGAGAGCTGCTGTTGAATTGTGGCACACAGTTTGCATTAGAGGTGACGCATATGCATTTGGAGGGAACAAATCTGGATAGTTGGGAATAGGACCTAATAGAGCTGGAATTCTTCGTAAGCTCTTGGATGTCCCGAGTTTGGAGAACAAGAATGCAAAAAAGTTGTTTCTCATGGAGCTCGGGACAGTGCTGCGATCACAGGTATGCTGACGGTTCAGCCCAGGGTCATAACTTGTAGGCTCAAAGTACATTTGGGGTAGGTGCCAGCTCAGAATTGATGCCAATTCACGGGCGGGTATGGGTGGATAGAGCGTGGGTTTTTGACCTTTTGAATGTTTATAGCTCTGCAGTGAAAATCAGAAATCTGCATTGGGCCTAACCATACTTCTCCGATTTATATTCAGACCATTTTCTTGATGTAGTTTCTCTGGCATTGCACATGTTGTCTTGTTGAATCTGTCAACCTCTTGAAAGTTGTGATCGTTCAGTCATTTTTTAGGGAATACAGACAGACCCAATGTAGATTTCTGAATTCCATTGCAAGCTATAAACATTCAAAATGTCAAATACCCCCATTCTATACACCAATGCCCGCCCATGAATTGGCATCAATTCTGAGCTGACACCTATCCCAACTGTACTTTGGTTCTAAAAATTCTGACCTTGGGCTGAACCATCATTCTCCCTTTTTTATGGGTGTATGGAAATTATGGCTCATTAAAACCAGCAGCCATATATAAAGGGAGAAAGTCCGACCATTTGGAATTCCTAACGGTACAAATACATATAAAATACAAAGTTTTGCACTCTACATATATTAGTATTTGTGTTCCTTCCAAACTTAACCTAAAAAAATGGTTTGTCGTAAATTCGTTCATGTCGAGACTTTGATTATTCATGCAAACATGAAAAGTCCAGAATATGATTGATGAGAATAAAAACTATCATATTTTTAACCCTTAATATTCATTCTTTTATACTTATTTAGTGCCTAATTGGACTCACTATTCTTGTATTTCGATTTAGGGCACGAAAAATGCGATAGGTGAAAGATAAGGCTAATCGGGTAATTTTTCATAGTTTCGGCGCTGTGTGGTAATCTGGGCATAACTCTCCTATCCGGACTACGATTGAGCTGATTCAAGATGCATTGGAAAGATAAGGAAAACCTCTACAACTTTCATGTTTTGAGTTTTGTTAGGTTCGGACGGAATCAAGCTCAAAATCGAGCCAGAATTTTAAGCCAATTCATAGAGAAGCCTAGTTCGCAGCAGAAGCCCAGTTCGCAGAGAAGCCCAGTTCAATGAGAATAATCTATGGCCGATTGAACCTCCAATTTCGTATATGATTGGTAGGTTTAATCAGGGTGGCAACTAACATAAATTGATTGCAAAAAAGTTTTCGATCTATGTTAGAAAGATATATGATCTGGTTTAAACGGTCCGAGCTTGTGAGATCGCTGACTAGAATTGGGTCTCTCCCCTCTTAATGTTATTAATAGATTAAATCCTAAGAGCTTGTTTAGGATTGTCTATTAATAAGAGAAGCAATCAAAGAGCTTGTTTTTTTTGTCAAATAATACGAATAGAGACTGGCTGTTAGAGCTTCTTAATGGCTATAATCAATTTATTCCTAAACATATGAAATTATCCTTGCATCGAGGATCAATGATAAGAATCAAAGCTGAACTCGTCCCTTCAACTAGAAGCTATCGTCCATCGATTTGATCTTTGCTTTCTGTTATTTTCTTTTATTTCAACTTATCTTTCTTATCTTCACAACCCCCTAATTCGTTTACTTGGAAATAAATCCACCCAATCCCTGTGGAGACGACCTTGCTCATCACTATATAGAAATTATTCACTTCGAG